CAGTCAATCTTTATAATTTCTTTGATTTATTTTATTCTTTCTTTATTTATTTACCCTTTATTGAGACAATATCTGTAAATATTGGCACAGACCTTAGAAACCTTTGTCATTATTGAAAGTTATAGTCTAATTCTCCTCTCATTACCTTTTATTATTTCAGTCTCTTCCAACCCTATATCATTAAGGTGAATCAAAGTGAAAACCCACTTACCGATTCGCCGTAACATTATTATTATTAAGAAATCTAAATTTTTATTACTTTTATTATAATCTGAAGTAAAAGAAATTTTTCTGAAAATATACTCAATAAAAAATAATCTGATAATAAAATTTTTCAGAGATATATCTAATAAAAAAAATTTGATAGTAGTAATAATAATATTATCAAGAAATCTAAATTTTTATTACTTGTCATAATCTGTTGACAACAAAGCAAAAAAAAAATTTCCAGAGATATATCTAATAAAAAAAGAAAATTTAATGATAATGATAATAATATTAATAATAAAAAATAGAAATTAATAAAGATAAAAAAAGAAAATATCAAAACTAAGAAGATCAATATATATTGCTGAAAGAAAAAAATAATAATACTATTCTATCTTTATCATCTTCATTTATCAATTACACAATTTTTTACATATAAAAATTAAGCATATTATGTTAATTGATTTAAAAAATTAATTAATTATATATGTGTTCAAAGTCTTAGTCAAAATGCACAAAGTTCTCTAAAATAAAGATATTATTAAGATTTCTACAAATAAAGCAGTGCAAAGATTATAAAAATAGTATAGATAATAGCATTTCTTTTAATTAACAAACTTTTTTATAATTATTAGAACATATTTTTATTGTATATCAAAAATGATTCACTTCTTAAAGAATTGCTTCAATATGTTTGCTTAATTAATTTGACTCATGCTAGTTATTATTTCACATTTGATGAGACTCTTGAATGATTTGAAGTCAATTTTATTAAACAAAATATTAGTGAAACTTTTAAATAATGAAGATTTAAAACAACAAATAGTCTCAGTACAAGCTGAGAGAGATCATTTGGCTTTACTTATATGAGTGACACTATTATAATTGAAGAAGATCATGCAGTTAAATCATGAAAAGATATATTTTCTTTAAAACTCAAAAACTATTCAAAACTGCAAAAGAAATCAACAAAGCAGGTTTTTAGAGATTGTTTTCTTGCTATAATATTGGTATTTCATGACTTAATGCCATTTTACGTCAAGATGTTTATAAAATGGAAATGAGAATTGTAAAAGATTATCATATGCATAATATAACACCACACAAATTCAGGAATCTACAAAAGACAACACCAAATAATCTACAAAAAGCAACAAGTGACATTTGCATTCTGAGTTAGAACAAGATAAAAGTGATTCTAAAAAATGTCAACGCCAACAAACAACAGAAAATGAAAAAAAATTCTTGAATTAATACTTAACGATGATGAGAGATTTACATAAACTTCTTGACCAAGATGAAGGGTGGACACTACAACGTGTTCACATATATTGGAATAATAACCGTTATAAAAAAAAGAATTCTAGGAATACTAATAGCAGTAATATTTAATGATTAAAACAATGAAAATTTGTTATATTACTAAAATAAGTCTTATCGTTATTATAATCTACTTGCTATATGCACTATTGTTATAGTATAAAACTAAATCTGAAAATCAAATTTTGCCTTTTTTTCTTATACGTAATTATTTTTTATTGATATTTTCTTTTATAATAAAATCAATCAAAATTTAAATCACCAACAACATTTATATTTGATTTTATCATTATACAATTATATCTTTTAGTGTTAAATAATTATAAAGAATCTTTTGGCTCAAACGGTTTTAAGTACATGTATATAATGAATATAAATATTCACAACAATATTAAAAATTTTATAATTTAATTCTGTAATTTGAAACAGAGTAAAAAATTTAATTTTTAGACTTTTATAAGTTCGAAAATTTAATTTTAGTTACGATGAAAATTATCTTGATATCAATCGATATTGTAGTACAGAACAGTTTATTAGACATTTCATCTGACCGATAATGCCACCGATTGTATTTAAAATGCGTCCTAACATGTAACCGTAAAATGCATATAGAGAGGCATGAAAATTCCAATAGAGAGGAGAATATTTTTGCATACAGACTTTCTCCACAAAAGGTAGTTTATAAAGCTTATGAAATACCTGTAAAATCTTTGATATCGTTGATGGTTAGGTCCTTTAGTCCATAAAAGACGACGTAACAATTGATTATTATTGAATTCGGTTAAGAGTTTAAGCTTTGAGCTAGAAAAAGCATTTGTAAAGATTAGTAAAAATTAGGTCATATATTGATTAATTTACCCACCCAAGAATAATTCATATGAACCCTCGTAATTCCTAGCTCCTATAAAACCTCATTTCCTTTTATAAATCCTTTCCCTCTCGCCCTTAATTACCCGCATCAGACGATATCCCGTATCGATAAAGGGATTAGAAGAACTAATAAATCAGAGTTAATCAATCTATTTACTCTCACCAAATCCACGTAGTAGGACAAAAACCCGTGATTTTCACGTAAACGGATATACGGGCAACAACAGTTATCGTTATCCTGTAACGGGAAGATTTAAAAGGGATTATGAGATGGAATTAAATGTGTAATTTCTGTGCTGATATTGTTAATATTCGGAATATTGCAGGATGAGATGAGTATGCATTATGATTTTTTAATGATATTTAATTCGCACAATGTTTTTTCTAGCTAAAAGCCAACGTTTAATCAAACCAAATCAATCAGGTCAATAAACATATGCCTTTTCTGGATCAGGTCTCAACCATAAATTGAATTCGCGAGTTTCGGTGGGCTAAAGATAATTACATAAAAGTGGATTTGAGGATCAAAGCTTTAAGCACATTTTATTAAATTATTTACATCTATTCTTTATATACATTTTTTGTCTCCTATTACAGGTTAATTTATTAATATAGCATCATAAGTTATCACAGTCAATTTCATAAGTAACTGACCATATACTGTTAAAAAATTTTCCGATCAAAAGAACATTGCAAACAATGATCATCCATTAGACCGGTAAACTTTTATATCAAGAATCGGCATCTACCCCGCGAATAAAATGAATCGCAAATTAAGGGACTAGCATCTGGTCCAGGTAAATCGAATGATAGTGTTTTCGCTCGAATCAGGTCATTGAGCGTCGAGATATTGCAACTTTAAATTTGCGATTTTGTTGATTATTAAAATTGATCTCAAAAAAATAAATTTGGCTATTTTACGACGAATATTCGATGTGTAGTAATTGGATTCAATAAAATTATCATTCGATTCATCCCGACTAGATGAATCGTATGGTAGCATTTTTGCTTGAATCATAACATTGGATATCAAGTGACGTTCGAAATATGCATCTCAATACCCGATATAGAAGTTTGATAAATCAGTTTTTTGATATATGAAACTTTTTTGCATCATGTAAAAAATCTCACGGTCAGTTACTATTGAATATTCACACGACTATAAAGTACACGTACTTGATCAAATGTAAATCGAGTTCTTAACATATTCGATTAATAATGATTAACTCATTGAAGACTCGAATGAGAATGAGAACGTATCTCTGCAAAAAACCCAAAGGAATCGCTTTAGAACCGATGCTAAAGTTCAAGCAATATCTTTCTCGTCAAAACGTAATGGGTGCTATCAACAAAGAAAAAACTGCAAAAGTTCAACAATACTATACCAATTTAATGAATAATTATCGCGAATGGCATAAGTCAACTAATATTCCAAAACATATATCAGAAAAGATTCGTACCTCTTTTGGCATTTCTCATAATAAATATCAACAAACCATATCAAATTTGAAAAAAATGTCAATTGAGAAACGATCGAGTGTTCTTTATCGCAAATTAAAAGGAATGACAGATTTTTTGGGCAAAAACCAATCTGAACTATCTAGGCACGCGACAATGATCCAAGGCTTGAATACCTTACAAAAAGAAAACGTAAGACCCAATGACGAGTTAAAGGTGTTCAAAGAAAAACACGAAATCGCAATTTTCGACCTGACCAATCATTTAAATACAACTGAGAGAAGATATCAAGATGCTTTAGAGTGTGAAAGTCTCACTGAGTTTGACTCAAAATTCGAATCTGAAAAACAAAAAATTTTTGATAGAGAAGAGTTGCCAACTCTCCATGAAATTGAATTGAAAGAATCACGTGAAAGAATTCAAGAATTGGAAGAAGAACAGCGAAACACTTTATCAACATTAAAAGATTTACAGCGGGAAAGTTTGCTAAAGCAAACACAAATTGATAACCTAACGCATGAAACTAAATCTGCGAAAAAAGAATCGTCAAGATTGCAATCGACACTTGATGGTGTAAGAAATCTCTTATCTAAGTATGAATTTGAATTAGAAGAATCACGTAGAAGAATTCAAGACTTAGAAGAGGAACGTAGAAACAATTTGTCAACATTAAAAGAATTACGATACGAAGATTCGTTAAGCAAAACACAAATTGATACCCTGACGCATAAAATCAAAGCTACACAACAAGAATCATCAAGGTTGCAATCGACACTTGATGGTGTAAGAAATCTCCTATCCAAGCATGAAGCTGAATTAGAAGAATCACGTAAAAGAATTCAAGACTTAGAAGAGGCACGTAGAAACGCTTTATCAACATTAAAAGAATTACGATATGAAGATTCGTTAAACAAGACACAAATTGATACCCTGTCACATGAAATCAAATATACGAAACAAGAAGCATCATGCTTGCAATCGGCACTTGATGGCATAAGAGGTATATGTATTCATAAAATTGAATTACATGAACCACGTGAGATCAAATCTGCGAAAAACGAAGCTTCGCAATTGCAATTGATGCTTGGTGAACTCGAGTCTGAAAAACAAAAAATGATTGATTATTATAAAATAGAATTGCAAATACATAATTTGCAAGTAAAAAATCTCAAAAAGAATCAGAAGAGGAACAAAAAATCACTTTGTCGACGTTAAAAGATTCACAACATGAAGCTTCGCTGAAGCAAGCACAAATTGACACCCTAACGCATGAAACCAAATCATTGAAAAAAACTAACCGAAATCTTTTAAAGAGATTTCAAATTCAAAACTATCAGGAGGAAGGCGCTTATGAAATAGCATTGAGTTGTACATTCATTCATTGACAAAGTCTTTCAACGCTATTGCAAATTTGCCTTCTGATATCTTGTCTTCCAATATTAACAGCGCAACTCCAATTCGTGATAACAGATTAATTTATTTTATGAACACTTTATCCTCTAATCGTTCCGGTAATATCATCGCGCCAACAAAAATTCGGCAACAATTATTCGTTTCCTTGAGATCACGTGGTTACAACAAAACAGATCATCCGACAATTGATTTGTTCACAGAATTTAATAAATGAGATGAATAAATATCGTGAAATGCTTTCTGAGGAACAAAAAAACCTTTTAATTAATCAAGTTGCCAGGGTTTTAATTGAGTTATTACATTTATATTTTCAATTGCGTGCACATGGGCTGATACCGGATGTCAATAGTGGAACGGATAACTGTGGCGGGTTTATGGATGGACTTTGGGATATCGAGAGTAGAGTTTTGTGGATTTTTGTGTTTTTTCTGTGAGGCATGATAAAAATTGATGCGTTTATTGTAAAGCTGGGGATATCAATATAATTAATCCAACATCTTTGTTATATTTAATGTTTTTTAAATGGATTTAATGAACCTAAAAAACTTCCGCGTTGGTTACGTCGGTCGCTTTGATCGTGTTTCTTGATTCTTGTTAATATCTGAGCTTTGAAATATACTCTTCGATTCTTAGGATCATCCAAAAATGTGCCAATAACTGGAAAATAGCATAAATCGACTTCCAACTCCTCCTCGTTATCTTCAACATCGGATCCTTGCATTAGACCAATATCAATTGTTTCGCCAGCATTAAACCATCTTATTTCGGGTATAGGGTCTTGAGTATCGATCCGAAAACGAAGTTGAAGCAATTCAAGCACAAGCTCATAAATTCGTTCTTGCGTTTCTTCATTCATTTCTTGGGGCAGTTTTCGACATCGGTTCAGTTTACTGATTATGTCGTCACCAAAATATCTGATCGTAGGATGCCATTTTTTCATATGAAAGCCGCGTGCACCCAAGGCAGCATTAACCTGTTGGCGTATTTTGATTGGCGTAATACATGTAAAACCATCTGATCCAATTCGATTTGTTGAAAGTTTTTCTATAAGCATGCATAGTTCTTGTGTATAATATATAATAAATTGTTCAGCAAATTCATCTTTATGCTGTTTTGCAAGTTTAATCTTTTTAGTAAAATTTTCGACAATACCGAAAACTTTGCTAACTATAAAACGTTGAAGAGCACAACTCAACGCCAATTTTCCATTATCATCAGAGATTTTTATCCTGCTATGATAATAAGACAGGGTCTCGTCTGCTTGCTTGTTCATAATTACAATTTTTTTCCCTTTTATTTTGACCGCATCAACAACGTTTCCTTGAATTTTTTCGATATCTTTAACAAGTTGAAAAGAATTATTCACATCATTTTCCCCATGTTGAACATTTGTTGCATTGCCAAGAGCTGATTGATATTGTTTAATCTGTTTACGAAGTCTTTTAATCTCTTCATCTTTTTCTTCAACCTCTTGATGAAATAAATCGAATTGCTGATTAAGCGAGTCATATTTGACTTGATATTCCTTTATATCGTCAATTAATTCTTCCTTGCTTAATTTATTCAAATCTTCCACGCTCAGTTGTTTTACTTGTGATTCATCATTTTTTTCGTTAGTCGCCTGTTGCTCTGAAAACTTATGCTCCGAAGTTTGCTTGATCTGAATACTAAGTTTTTCTATTTCTCGATCTTTTTCTTGAATTTGTTTCTGCATCGTATCAAAACTTTGTTTAAGCGAGTTATTTTTAGCAGTAAGCATGTCGATCTGCTCCTTGTTTTTGATTGTTTCTAATTGTTTAAGTGAATTTTCGTATTTTTCTTCTAACTCTTTACATCTTTTTGCCAATTCCGCGATTTCTTCTTTTCTCTTGGAGCGCAAATTTAGTTCAGAATAATTGCCATTATTAAAGTCGAACATGCCTTTAAATTTTTGGAAAGTAATGCTACGAAAGGCAGATAACTCATGCACTTCTAACTTTTGTAAATTTTTGAGTATATTAGATTCGATATCTGTTGATGATATTCCGAGTAAACGTCCAATTTGCTTCAATAAATTGCCCGGTTTATTTCCAGAATTATTTTGTCGCCATTCAAAATATTCGTCAATTATGCGACTTGCTGTTCGCTTATGGTCCGGCTTGAAACTGTTTTTTGATTCATTTATAATTTTTCGAAGTTCCGCACACTCTTTTTCAATGCGTGCTAGTTCACAAGTTGACATAATACATATATAAATATATTTTAACAATTCATTTTGATAGTATGATCCACCGAGAAAGTAGTCAATGAGCTCTTGTTTCTGCTCATTGGAAATTTCATTTGTCTGTGGTGGTGGTTTTTGAGGTTTACTTTTAGGAGAAGCTCCTTTACTAGTATTGTTATTCATTTTCTTTTAATTTTTCATAAAAATGAAAACGAGGAACCCATAAAAATAAAAAAATTGCTTGGACACAAATTAATCTTCGGATATCCATCCCCGAACAAACCTTTCTTTATTTTGATTTGCATATTACATGTGCATGTAGCTATTAACCTTATTCAATACAAATCTTGTTTTAAAAGCCTGTTTTACGTAGGGCTAAAAAGATACCGATACTGACAAATGTGGAAATAAAAAGGACAGGGGCGTTCGATATTCGTTTAGATATACCGATACGGTATCTTACTACCTGCAGCGCAGTGCATGTATTCCTGTTTTTTTCTGGTTCCGCTAAATTAGAAATTGACATCGTGACCATAGCGATAGAACTACGTTTCGTCGATATCGATATACAATAACGATAAGAACCTTTTGTCGTGAATTCTTTCGACGTTTTATAATTACAAAATATTCAAAATGTCTGGAATGCCTAAAATGTTTTCATCCGAAAGAGTATCTAATAAGTTATTCGAGGTTGACTTTAGCGCTGTCGTCGCTGTTGATTTTGGAACTACATGCAGTGGTAAATATATATAATGTTTTTTGAATTGTTTATAAGAAAAATGAATTGAATCTTATTTTAAATAAAATAGGGTTTGCGTATTCCCATTGTATCAATCCGGAAACTCAAGTAAATACCTCTTTCCCTGGACAAGTAGTTCAAAAAACGAACACAGTGCTACAATATGATGATAAATTGCAAGTCGAGGCATGGGGATACCCTGCTCTTGCTAAAGAGCCAAAAAGGAAGAGAAGAATCGAGGAAGAGAAACGGCCAATTGAATTATTCAAATTGCATTTAGCAGATCTCAAAAAAAAACCGGAACTTCCTGACGGATTGAATTATAAGAAAGCAATCACTGATTATCTTCGTCAGATGCAAATTGTATTATAAAATTTCCTTTAATATTACATGTTTGATTAAAATATTTAACCAATTTTTGGTTAAATATATCACAGTTGATTATGGAAACTGTAAACCGACGTTGGCCTGGTCTCTCACTTTCAGAAATACGATTTGTATTCACTATTCCGGCGGGATGGGTAAATATTCGTATTTTTTGCATGTGGATAATTGAAAGTTTCAATGTGCTTTTTTTCGTTATAATAGGGAGATCACACTAAAGAAATTATGCGCGAATGCATTTTTAAGGCTGGATATATTACTAACAGAAATTCTTACAATTTGGAATTTGCTAAAGAACGCGAGTTTTATTTTTTTCTTTCTTTAGATTATTTTTTAAATATTCATCTAATCAAAATTGTCTGTATGTAAATAATAATTAGCCGAGGCAGCTGCAATTCATTGCTTAAATATTATAGAATCGCATGGATTAGAAATTGGAGGTTAGTTTTTAAAATATTATTCATGAAACTAAAATTTGCCATACGTTTTATTCCCAGAAATATGTATTCAAAGATATGATGTTATAGACACATTCTTGGTATGCGATTGTGGAGGTGGAACAGTCGATTTAACGATGCGCACCTGCGTGGAAAAAGACCAACTCGAAGAGGAAACTATACCTACGATGGGAATTTGCGGTAGCACATATGTCGATAAGGAATTTATAAAATTTCTGGAAAAATGCGTAGGCATTGACGCTATAAGAAAATTCAAAGAAATGCATTATGGGCAGCTTCAGTACATGATTCAGAATTTCTTTAATCTTCGGGTAAAAAATAACTTTAAAGATGACCCTAAGAAATTCAAGACTATTGAATTCGACATAGATCAATATTGTCCGAAGTTAAAACAATACGTGTCCGAAGAAATTCAGAAAGAATTGGACGAGAATGATTGGATCATTGAATTGTATTACAATGATGTGAAAGCAATGTTTGATCCAATTGTCGACAAAATACTTAAATTGATACAGAACCAATTAAATTCGAATCCTAAAATCACATGTTCGGCGATCTTTGTGGTTGGGGGTTTCGCCGAAAGTCCTTACCTGATCTCGAAAATTCGAAAAACTTTTGATCGCTATGTTCGTAAAATCGCTGTACCTACGAATCCGATAACCTCTGTTTTAAAGGGTGCAGTTGATTATGTAAGGCACAAATTCCGAATTCTTTGTCTATATGAGATTTCCTCTATTGCTCTGTTTTTCTTTTCTCTATAGGGATTGAACAAAGAAGCTGTGAAAATACGTGTTTTGCCTAGAGCTTATGGGATTGAAGTTACCAACATCTTTAAAAAAGATATAGATCCAATTAAACGGCAAACCCCGGATGGACATATTAGGAAATTCAGTTGCTTGGCGAAACGAGGTGAAAAAGCAGCACCAAATCATAAATTCGCCTCAACATTTTATCCCGTTTATCCAAGCCAGACGCACATCTCGTTCAGGGTCCTTAGCACGAATGACAATAATGCGCGTTATTGTGATGATGCGAAACACGTCGGAAGCTTGAGGATCGAGTATGAAATTTAACCTTTTTTATATCTAGTTAAAATTTTTATCATTTTTTGATAAATAAATTTTTTAATATTTTAGGCTACCTGATGTCGAACTTGGCTTAAATCGGCCAGTTGAATTTGAACTATGCTTTGCCGAAGAATATATCAGAGCAACTGCGCGAAATAAAACAAACAATCGCGAATATCCTGCTGTATTTGATTATAATGTAGATGGCTAGACACTGTTACTAAATTATTCTTCTCATATGACTAGTATTATACATATACATGTACGTATTTAAAATAAATACAACATTCCGTATTTTCGGCCGTATAATTGTCGTTATTAGTTTATGTCTTACAAAAGACAAGTGGAACCTTAAATAAAAATTTTTTCGGCGAGTTACAGTGTGTTGCGAAAAAAATGGCGCGTAAATTAAAAGATTAGTGTTTTGCTTTACAGACATAATGAATGGTCCCTTTTATGTAAATATTTTACAAACCCAGCTTCTTCCGTTTGGCCGACAGTTGTATGGTAGAAGATGGCATCTGCATTCACGTGTTGCAAAGGATTTTTTATCCCAAAACAACGTTCATGTAATAGAGTGGCCATCTAACAGCCCTGATCCGAGAATATGTGGCAGATTGTTAAAAACAATGTAGAAAAAAGAATACCTAAAGATATTGGTGAGTTAAAGCAATTTATGGTAGAAGATGGATAAAATTCCTCAGAATGTTATACAAAATTTAATCGGATCTATGAAAAATCGTTGTGAACTAGTATTACAAAAAAATGGGAATAGAATTTCGTATTAAAATTTTTACATTTAATAAGTAGTTTATAAGCTTTAAAATAAGTCCACTTCCTTGGGTAATTGTTGAGATATACAAGTTTATTTGTGCGTCATTTTTTCGCAACACACTGTAAATTGATTATTTATAAATCGAGAAATAAATCGCAATAAGTTTCGGTGTTGCAACACAACAATTAATGAATTTCTAGAACAGAAACAAGATTAATGACAAGAACGAACTCGGTCTTTTGAACGATTGCTTTCTATAAGTATAAAACATTTTAATAAAAATTATTCGTCGTTCAAGAAACAACAAATTATTTACAAATAATTTTTCATTGGAATTAAAAAGTTTTGAAACCAAATGCAAGAATTTGAATCTCATAAGCAAGACAAAAGAATCTTGAGTTACAAATGAATTGGCTAATTCAAAATTCAAACACAAAAAAGAAATAGCAACCGTTATAAAACAAAAAAGAAAAATTTGGACATGTATCGAAAAAATTTTAACTGATTTTTTGGGGAAAACCAATCAAATCGCAAGATCGTTTTGTTAACGAAAAATTCAAAACATTGTTTCGAAATTCGGTAATTTGATGGTCTGGGACATGTACACTCGGTGGTCAAAAGTCTGCAATCGGGAAATGATCAGCAATGTAGGTCACGAATTTTGATATGACTTT